TGCAATTACATTAAAAATAAAACCAAACTTTCAAACAACAATTACTACCAAGTAACCATGCTTAAAGAGGTTTAAACTTGCATATAAATTAAGGAATGAACCAAATGCATAACCACCATAAATATGCAATGAATTTTTAAGGTTATAAAGACTTAAATTTTTTTGTCAAAATAAAAAATCCCTCGAAAAGTGCATTTTTGATTATTTTTTTGGATAAAAACGCCTTTTCCACAAAAATTCACTATTTTTGAGCAAAAATATAAGTTCGGGGCTGAAATCAGCTCTAATACGGGTTTAAAATTAACAAAATCGAGCTACTAATCTAATTAGCAACTTAAAACCATAAAAATTAAGCCATAAAAACACCTTGAACAATATGATTATAACAATAATTGAGCAAGGCTCTAATACCACTGTTTGGTTTCGGTGAGTCCGACCCACTACGGAAAGAAACCCGACCCCAAAACCAAACTCACAATAATTATAACCATAATGGACAATTAAAATAAACACAATACTAAGTAAGAGATTATTGCCTTTGTAGCGTGCTTCGCTCATTTAATTTAGCTTCTACTTTGTAAGCCCTTTAGCTCCGCTCACACTGAGACTTTCTTTGAAGTCCACCCGCAACGCGAGCACCGAACTCGGTCTATTTCCTTGGAGTTAGCAAGGCCCGACCTCATAACCCGAGTAACTATTGTTCAAAGGTTTTCACACTGTGATTCCTTTTTTAACACTTACTCAAGTGAAGAATTCCCAACTCCCTAGGTTGGTGTTTATAGGAAAAGGCTCAAAAAATTCCCATCATCTTTCCATGTGGGAGATTTTAATTTTTCCATTTTATTTTAAATCTAAAAGAAAATAAATAAACAAGCTACTAATAAATCAACAAGTGTCAAGCTCACATGAGAGGTTAGGTGAGGACCATTAGGAGAACGGGGTGGACCAAACTTGCTCCCCATTCCTTCTCTAAAAATCGGCCAACACACACCATAGACACCCAATGAAGCCGCGCCACATGGCAGGCCCACTTAGGAACCAAGGCACCCCAAGTGGGCTACCATGGCTTGCTGCCACCCACGACCAGCAGGCCCAGCATACATGTGTAGGCTGCTGCAGCAGTGCGATATGGCTAGCACTCTCGGCCAGCAGGCCCTTGCACCATGCGTACGGGCTCCTGCTAGCAGGCCCATGCACCAAGTGCAGGCTCCTAGTAGCGACTTGCTAGTAAGCCCAGCACTTGGTGCGGGCTGCTAGCTCGGCCACACCCCCAGCACTCAACTTTCTGATGCTAGGGATATTTTAGTCATTATGTTGATTTATTAGTTTTTTTGTTTCGTCTTTTTTATCATTTTCGACTCGACTTCCGACGCTCGAATTAATTCGTCGCTTCGGTTCACTAATTGCTTGGGTTTGACTCAAAGGGTTCAGTCAAGATTAAGCTGTAATATTAATCATACATTAATATAACTGATCAGAAGCGACCTCCACCTAGGAATTCCGATCACTTGACCTCACTGAATAAATAGCTTTCTAATAATCCTGAACCCTCTATTGGAATAATACACTTATTTGTAGGACACCATTCCTTTCAACAACAATGTCGTTTGGCTACAAGGTTGTCGTTTGGCGAATGGCCCTGTTGTCTCGCGCTATGTTCTTTGAATGCCGAGCCAAAAATCTACCTTCTTCATTTCGTCCAGTTCTAGTACTGTTTGCTCTATTCTACTTTCTAATTAAGTTTTTCTCACTTTTTTGAACACATATGTGTTCTACATCTGGCCATAACTCTCTGGGAATTTACGTTCCATCTACCCAATTGAACGCTCATGGCAACGAAGGGTACATCCGAGTTTGTTAATTAACCAAACCGTGAAAGCGAGTTCAACTTGCGGGGTTCCATCCACATGCGCCAACCCTTCCAAAGGTAAGGCTTCCACACAGTGCATCTGGACTCATAACCATGGACCCTCTTTGACTAACCCTTATCCATGAACTTTATAGAACTAGAGCCATGATGTGGTTGTAAACTCATTGAATCAAATTGTGTTTGCTTGATTACTTGTGCATTCTTAGCTTGTGCATAACTTATGTGTGTTTACGCTAACCGTTTGTTTGGCTTGTGAACAAATCTAAATAAACTAATTAATGATTGAAAGATTTTGCTTAATTAATTAATGAATTAATATGAGTAATTAATAAATTGATCAAACTTAACTTAGTATGACTATAGGCTTGTCCTTTTAGAGTAAAACACTGGAAATATACCTACACTAATGATTCAGCAATGACGCAAACGTTTGGCCTGTGGCGCAACACGCTAGGGTTCGGAGTTATGCGGCAGTATTGTCGCATCGCGTTGGTCCCAGCTTTTTACAACAGTTTCGTAGCTGAAGCAACGGTCCAGTTTTTTGCTAGAGTGCGCACTTTAAGTTTAATTAATCAGTTTATAACGGCAGAAGCTATATTTAGTCCTTAATTGAGTCTAAGCACATATTACTATAGTCTTACACAAGTGTCAAAGCTTGTCACTTTCACTCACTATTAAAGCACACACTTTGTATTTATGTTTCACCTTGACCATGTCTAGAGAGTTTTGTGTGCGCATGTTTTTCGTCGTTTTTAGGGGGGTAAGTCGGATATTAATCCTCAAATTAAACCATACTTGTTCAAACCCTATATTTGATTCCAAAAAATATTCACCCTTTTCTTGTCTCTTTCTATTTTTTTTTTTTTTGCCTTTTAAACCAATAAAATCAAATTCAATTTGAGTCAAGTCATAAAAATAGTTGGTTTAATTTACAGTACTTGGTCAAGAAAGGAAGGGCGGCTAATCAAGAACAATGCTTTTGTTGAAGTCATACTTTTTGATTAACTGATTCGTCAAAAGAGAAAAACTAAGAAGATAATGGCAACTCAAGAAGAAGTCAATGAACTCAGGAAAAACTTGGCTAATTTAACCGAAATCATGAAGGCTATGGCTCTTCAAGTCAATGACTTTATGAAACAGCAACAAATGGAGCGAATGGAGTAAAGCTTGAGCAAGATCTCCAATGACTATAAGTTCCAAGGAATTAGCTAACAAGGGGTCTTAGTGGACAAGGAGCTTCTTCCGTAGAAGTTCAATGCCAATGACATCCTTAGGTTCAAACCAACTGACAATCCTTATTTCCACTTAAGGGATTTTGAAACTATAGTGAACATTAAGGGGATTGATAAGAAAGTCTTTCACTCTTTATTCTCACTATCTCTTGAAACCGTTTGTCAACAATGGCTCTTTTCTCTAGATAAAGAGAATATCTCTACTTGGGATTTAATAGTAAATGCTTTCATTGATAGATACAAATGTAACATTCAAGTTGAACCGATCATAGAGAACTCGAGATGTAAAAGCAAAAAGAGAATGAGGGTTTTACTTCTTTGATTAATAAGTGGAGGGAAACTTCTGCTAAAATGGTTGAGGTGCCTAGTGAGAAAGAATCTGTAAGGATATTCATTAACAACCTCCAAGAAAAATATTCTAAGCATCTCAAATATCAAAGTAATTTGAATAGTATTTCACACCCAGAAGAATGCGCCTGCAAAAGACTAGGTCGCGCCCGCGGTGGTCTGAGCCGCGCCATCTCCCAGGCGTCTCCTCGGCATCTACTGAATACTAGATAAAGGGTGGAAGGACAAATCCATGCATGTGGCTGAATAGGACGCGCCAGCGGTCAATTCTAATCGAATTGAGGCTGAATTGAGTTTTGACTAAGGTTGCTCGGTTTGGGAATTGATGAAGAGTGGTGGCTAGAAATGTTAGGTATATGAACTGGTGGTGTGTAGGTGTCAAGAGATATGATTAAGGGATGATGTGTTGGTTGCGGTGGGATAGAGGTGAAGTATGGCTGGGAGTTGCGGCTAGTTTGTGGGGTTTCCTGTCATTGTTAGGTTGTTGTGGCTGGTGGTGTGTGGTGGTAATTAAGGTGACAACTTGGTGTATTGGAGCAGCTAGCAGGGGAATTGGCTGGTGGTGATGGGTGAGAAGGGAGTTGCGTGGGCATGTTTGCGTGAGCAGGGGAAGTGTTGTGATGTTTGTGTGTGTTGTTTTGGGTGGTGTAGGATAGTTAAGTATGGGGTGACGGTTTAAGTGGCAGCAAATATGATGGCTTGGAAGGTATTGAATTGTGAAATTTGACACATATGACTCAAACCCGGAACACCAAACTTGATTTAAACATGAAAACCGAGCATCAGCCCGAACACACCTACAACAAAAAACAATCACGAGGGTAGATAGACATAAAATAAAATAAAATTAAAAATAAAGTAAAATAGAATAAGGATAAAATAAAAGTTAAATAAAATATTAAAACTAAAATAAATAATAAAATTAAATGACATTAAATAAAGTAAAGAAAACAAACATAAAAATAAAAGAAAATAAGAGGAAAACGAAAAGAAAAATATTAACAAGAACCTAGACTAAGAACATTATATAAAGTAACAAATATAAAATAAATTATGAAAATAAACTAAAAACTACTAAAAATACACAAAATAAAGATCAAATAAGAAATATAAGAAAAAGAGAGAAATAAAGCGTAAAACTAGGGAAATTATTTAGAAACTAAACCGAAAAATAAGCATAAAAATACCCTAAAAGTGACATAGAAGTAACTTATCAAACTCCCCGAGCTAATCTTTTGCTCGTCCTCGAGCAAACTCTACTACAAAAATGGCCAAAAAGACCCGTCCAAATTAGCCAAAGAGACTGCCTTAGAGGCGGTCTCTAGCTAAGCGGTCTCTTTGGCAAAGAGACTGATTTATTTAAGGCGGTCTCCATATTGAGAAAACTGAGACCGCCTATCTAAGATAGATAGTCTCTTTTTTAAGTAAAAAAAGAGACTGCCTATTAAGGTCAGGAAGTCTTTTTTTTTGGTAAGCTGAGACCGCCAATTTCACTTAACAGGTCTCTTTGGGCGCATTTAAAATTTTAAAAAAAATCATTGCTAATTTAATTTGATTTATGCTATAATTAAATCGATAACATTAAAAGAGAATAACATTGGCACATTAATGTTTGTACTATGATACAAAGAATTTTAACAAACTTTAATTAAATTCTAGTAAAAATATATAAATGAATTATTGTAATTTATACGTATAACTATATCAAACATGTAACTTGAGTACTCCAATTTCTTCCTCTCTCCTTTGTTTTGAGATTCTTGTGTGAAAACAAGCAAATCTGTCAAAGCAAAAGGCACACAATGAATCAATCATAATAATTGAGAAAAACCACAAAATTAAACATTCGTTTAGAAAAATTAACTGAAAAATGAACTAATAAAATAAAAGATCAACTCATCCAAAAACAAAAATCTGTAAATTCATGGTAGCAATTAAACGAATGATGAACATGAAATTTGCTAAAACAAATCTAATATATTTCCATCCATGTAAATTAGATGGGGATCCACAACTACAAGTCTACAGTTCATGAACACATATGTTTTGCTAATGAAAATGACGATAACAATGATAATACCGCACAACCCAAAAAGTCTAACCACAAAAACTATAGTGCAAAATACATCAAACAGATCAAAAATCAACTGACCTTGAAACCACAACAAAAGATGAAACAAAAACAAAAATACATAAATAATAATCAATTAAAAAAAACCAAATCCAAGAAGAAGAGACCTACAAGTAGTTTCGGCAAATTTGGGATCAGATCCCCAAGAATTTGACTCTAGATTTTAAACCCATCTTAATTTATAACAATCGATTGATTTATCAAGATGACCCAACATAAAATGAGTATCATCTAACTGCATAAACCCATAAAACTCCTTTCAAAACATCTAGAACATAAATCTCTTGTTCGATAACTGGAATCACTTCATCATCAAACCTCTCAAACTTTAATAAATCACTGCAACAACATGGAGATTCATCGCAAAATCAAAACGTTATTCCCCTTTAACCACACATCTCTCAAACGATTTCGAGGCTCCGAACAGGGGAATTCAAAGGTGAAGGAGAGGAAATCAAATTAAGAGGAAAGGGAGGAGATAGAATGAAAGGTAAAGGAAGGAGATGGAATGCTGGAGGCAGATTGAAAGTGAAGTGTTAGGGTTTCATATTTTATTTTTGTGAGTAAAGGAGATCGGTTAACTTGTATACATGTCTCTCCCTTTTTGAATTTCAAAAAAAAAAAAAAAAAAAAGAGACCGGTTAAGTTCCATATAGGTCACACTCCCTTTTTAATTTTCAAATAAAAAAACTTAAGAGAGTCCGGTTGAGTTGCAGTTAGGTCTCTCCCCTGTTAAATTTCAAATTAAAAAAAACTACGAGAGACATGTTATCTACGGTAAATGGTCTCTCTTAAATTTTCACCTCTTAACACAATATTAAAGGGACCGATTATTTGCGACATTGGGTCTCTTGAAACAAAGAGACCGGTTATTTAATTAACGGGTCTCTTATTTCGGGTCTCCTTGAGCATTTTTGTAGTAGTGAATTTAACAAGAAACACGAGATAAGGAGAATTATTTATTCAAGCTAGAAAAACTAAAAAGAGAAAGAATATACACTAACTCACTTTCATAGGAAACACGGTCAATTTTAGCAACAAAAAACAAGTCATTTAAACCCCTAGTTTTCCCTAGAGGACGAGTGTGATCTCGTGAGGGTTTCCTAAGACTGTAACCCAAAAATATAGACAAAAACCAAGGCAAGGCAATAAAAAAAAAGTAAAAGAAACATACGAAGAGAAAGAAAACACAAAGTTCATAATTGGACAGAGATAAGAACAAGGACCAATGAATGCAAACCTTTCTAAATAGACAAATGTATGCACGTTTCAAGATGTCAACGGTTGATTGAAACATAAAATATGCTAAGCATAAAGAACTAATGAGGACTCAATCCAGCCTAGCACCAACCAATCGGTCCGCGTTCTCTCCATTAGCTTCAAATCAACCCTTAAGCTAGTTTCTCATAATTCCTCAAAGAAACCGAAATAGATAAAGAAAATTAAAAACTTTGATAAGGTAGTCCCGACATCTTAGCCAGGCACACTCTCTCCAAAGGCTTTACAAGGGTCTCCCTTCTCCGATGTTGACTCAACCCTCAAGGTTATAAGGTTTTTTTTATTGGTTGTAACATAAGGCTAGGGGTCAAGGCGGGGTAAAAATTTGAAAAATTTGGTGAAATTTCCTAAGTGAAGGAAAAGGGGGATCAAATAAACCTCAAAAACAAACTCAAGAAGTAATCAAACATCAAACAAAAATACCAATAATGCCATCTTCCCCAAGCTTACTGAACACCAACACAAAATATATACAAAAATGAATTAGTAACGCTCCCCCCCCCCCTCCAAATCTTGAACGAAGCATTGTCCTAAATGCTTGAAATAGGGAAGATAATGAAACTAACTAAGATGTTTTTGTTTTTTTTTTTCTTTTCTTATTTTTATTGATTTTCTTTCTTTTTTTTTAATTTTTTTTACTAAACTTTTATTTGATGTCCTTGCCTTTTTTTTTTAACCATGGACAACTTTTTCTTGAATGCATTTGCTTTATTACACAAAAAATATACAAATTACTTTATTGCTTGGTTTAAAAGAGCATATTGCTTTCTCATTTTCATTTAAACCATCACAACATAAAACAAACTCTCAAACCAAAATGCTTCGTAAAACTAATGGTTAGGGAAACGAAAGGTCATAAGGCTCGTAATGTGGCTCAAAATCAAGAAAGGGATTAGACTCAAAGGGTTATCAAGAGGAGAAAATGCAAATATAAAAACAAAATATGTAACAAAACAAAAAGAAGAGAAAGAAAAATGAAGAAGTGGCTCGGTCACGATCTTTGGAGCTAGAGATCAAAACAAGGATTAAGACATGCCACTACTACAAAAATAGGCTTAGAGAACTGTTAAAATAGGCTTTATAGAACGCTTTAGGACCGTTCTTCTGCTAAGCAATGTATAAAGTTTATAAAACAAGCAAATGAGGTGTTTTTTTATCCCTTGTCATACAGAACGGTCAACAGACATAACCGTTCTATATTCCCTTCCTAAAATCTAAATATGAATAAGGAAAAGACAATGGTTGCTTAACTTGATAGTTTTATTTTGTTATACAAAACAGAACGGTTTTATTAGTTAACCATTCTCTATTCTTTCTTAATTAGATAATGATAATTTGCGAATTTCCCAGGTTAAGCAACCTAAATGAAGTCATTTTTTTTCTTTTGAAACAACTATCAAAATTTTACATTAAAACTAATTTGAACAAATGGTAATTTTGAATTTTCTGGCTCAAGTAGTCAGAATTATAATACAAATACAAAATAATAGAACTATTGATAATTTAACAACAAAAAATAAATGATAAAATATCAACTATTATAGAAATAGTCTATACCAATACAACTTAACAACAAAATTGATAATAGATTACACAATTTTTAAAAAAAAAAATAAGAGATGAATTTTTTGTGAATATTTATAAATAGCTTTCTCCTTTTCCTTTCTCTAATAAATCTGCGTTAAAAAAACTCATGCAATTATAATCAGCAAGAATAACACCATGAATTGACAAACTCTAAATTTTTTTGAGAAATTATATTGTCAACATCAACCCATTCCAAAAACCTTGATTAAGAAGAATCAAGCAAAAACAAGAATCCGGATCGGAAAGATCCATTACTCTCATCATTCACCGTTGATAAGTTTTTTTTACCAAAGATTCAACCGTCGAACTGGCTTCTTTCAATTCTACATTCTCGTTGTTGTTACATCAACGGGAATCATCTTCTCCATTAATTGAGCGCTATTCATCGATTCCTGCCTTAATGCCTTTTCTAATCTGCCATCGCTGATGCGATTATCAAGATTCAATACCTTAACACAACATAAAGTTGCCTATTAAAAAAAAAACTACAGAAATTCTTTTCAATTTTTGTGAAGGATTTAAATAAAAAAGACTTAATTGGATATACTTTGGCACAACAGAATAAAAATTAAAACCTCAATAAAATCAAATCAAATAACTTCAAGGATGTAGCAATTTTAATTAAGGTGTTAAAGATTTCAATCAATTGAAAATCAGAATCAAACCTTTATAGCTTTTGAGTTCTTGATCTCTGGTCGTACAAGCCCTTATTTTTCATTTCCTTAAAAAGCAAAAAAAATGGGAGCAAAACATTTCAGATTTTAAAATTGAAACGATGAGAAATTGCATGTATTTTCTAGTTTTGGAGGAGAAAGATTGATAACATTACATAAAGTTAAATTTCGGTGAGAAGAAGAAAACAAGACAACCATTTATTGAAAGATGAACGTGGATGTATTTTTAGGGTTAACGACGCATATCGGTTGTTATTAAACACCGTTCTATATCTATTTACATTTTTTTATTTAATAATTTTTTATTAGCATGAGAAAATACAGAACGGTTGGGTAGTGACCGCCCTATATTCTTTTACATATAAAACGGTTGTCTGAGAAAACCGTTCTATTTAGTTATATAGAACGCTTGTCTCTATAACCCGTTTCATATCACGCATTTCTTATTCCACTTTTTGTACTAGTGTGCATTGCCAAGGATCATAAATTGCCGCTTAACAAGGAGATGAAGGCTAGAACAAATGAATCTCACAAGGGATATAAAGAAATTACCAACCAAGGGTTTCAAATCAACTATGAAGACCAACACCATCTTACCACGAGCAATAAACTAAGGCGTCATGGTACCCAAAAGTTCTTAAACCAGCTACCTTAGCATATATTATAGTAGAGTCAACCAATGTCACTCTCAAACAGTGCACACATTTGTCACTTAGAAAGAAGAACATTCAAGAATACAAGTCCCAAAATAGAATGTCCAAAACAATAACTAACAAAATAAATTTTGCTAAAATCACCTTGAAAGAAAACAAAAATCTTTTAGGATTTTTTACGCAAGGAAAATGTAGGTCGTTTTCTTCCCTTTCCTATAGCGAAACTAAATTTGTAAACACTCGATACGAGTATATGGTAAGTCAAGGGTCTAACTGTTGAGCAATTAGGTTTTGATGATTATAAACTAATGATGGTTATCTATCTAACGTGTATGTTAAGTTGTGCATATAAAGAGCAAGTTATGCTTGGAACAGGATACAAGGAACCTGAGTAATGACAGGTATATATGTAAGGAACTTGAGCAATATAGGATAAGCAATAGAGGAACAAGAACAACGATAAGTGTTATGGTTGATAAGCATGATGATGGCTAAGGAACCATGAAGGTAACTATGTAAACATGTGTTTGCATATGTTAGCTTCATAAGGTAAGTATCCTATACATATATAGGTCATGTATGTGTAGGAGTCTTTTAATTTAGTTTGGTTTTCTTTACTTTTTTTATAAATGAAAAAACTAACCTTCTGAGTTACTTTGTTATCCTCAGAAGTTTGCTCAGTTTGTCATCATTAAAAAGGGGCAACTTATTGACCCTTATGAGGTTTTGATGAAGATGTTAAGAATTGAGAAAACTTCTATTTAATAAGGATTTTCTAGTGTTGTGATGTTTGCAGGTTCAGTAAGCGTTGAGGGCTGAAGTAGGAACTGAAACAGAGGAACTTTAGAAGATCCATGAGGATACAAGTAAAGTTAGAAGAAGAGTTCCAGAAATGAAACTTACAGAAGTTTCTTAACAGGAACTTCAAAACGGGTTGTAACGACCTGGTTCCGGTGTAATGCTGGGGCAAACCCTAAGATCCAGAATATATCAAGACTACAGGATTCCAGAACAAGAGTTTCAGAGAAGCAACATGAAGACAGAGAAATAGAAGTATATTTCTCTAGGATTCATGTAAGTATGTTGGACATAAAAGTCGGTTTGGAACAAGTCTATATAGAACCAAGGTGAACTCCAAACAGTCAATGAAAATAGAGTAACTGACTTGTCAGGAACTCAGAGACTGTCATAGTTCAGGAACCTAATAGGAACTTAAATATGCACGTCATTAAAAGTCGGTTTTAATGATATATATATTAATCTAATACGTGCATATCTTTTAGGGATTTGGTTTTACTGAATAAAGATATTTATCTTCTAATAAATCCCTTTTGGAAAAAGATAAGATTGTTTAAAAAGTATTTTAAACTAAAAGATTTGAATAAAATCTGATTTTATGCTAAGTTTATCTTATTATTATTGTCAGTTTTTATTCTTAACAAAAAGATATATTTTCTAGAAAACTGATTTTTAGAAAATATCTT